ATTTAGTGATTTTTTCTTGTTTTTTAATTCTACAACGGTTTTGTAATAATTGTGAATGTTGTTTAATATATTTAATGTTCTATTTTAACAATTGAATTGGTTTGGTTGGTGAATGAATATACCGTTACAGAAGTTGGTTTATCTGCTTTATTTATTAACTTTAAAAACGGACAGATAGACACACGAGTGAGCCTATGAGGGTTCCGTTTTTCATTCGGACGTACGGAACCTTAACCAGAAAACCAACTTAACATTTTATTTGAAAAACCGCATGTCCTCCCACAGATTCAAACTGCAAATTTAAATTCGTAATGTTCAGACTGTAGACTTGTTATTAATTTTCCGGTAATCCATAAGTAAAGAACAATTTTCAAATTTTTAGGTAAGATAAGAGGGGAGGGAATGGTTAATTTTCATCTATATTCTTGAACAACTTTAAAACTATTGATTTTAAAATTTGAGACCTTTACAACAAGCCGTTTCATTTGATATATCACACGGTGCAGTTTGCAAAATTTTTTTTTTATTCCCTATTGACCCCCCGAAAAATGACCCCCATGTCCAAAATTAATTTATTTACGTTATGCGTCAGTATTTAGGCCAAAAATATTCTTCATGTTTACTAAATTTCAACTTAATCGGTCCAGTAGATTCGGAGCAAATTGACTGTGACAGACGGAATGATCGTATAAGGGTTCCGTTTTTAATTCGGACGTACAGAACCCTTAAAAAAGCCTTCGAAAAGCCCGAAAACTAGAATGAAACGTTGACGGCTATTTCTTAATAAATTAATAACTTTTAATCCCTCTTCTTTGCTTTCACATAGAGTGTAAAAAACAGGGGAAGAATAGAGAATATAATTAATTACTATTCCAAAACAGTCGTTTTTTCTTAACACGTCCGAATGAACTTCTTCGTAATTCTTAATAAAGAACTGCTCTACAGCACCTCTCTGAATGAAAAACATTGTGTCGTTGACTTCACCCTCTTCACATATGATGTTGCCAGCAAAAAATGTTAAAGTATTCATTTTTGATACTACCAAACGTATGAAATCCGTGTGACAAGAACTGAATATATAATTCTGGAGAAAAATTAAAATTAAAGAAAAATGACTGTGTCTCATACCACTAAAGAATCCATAAAATTGGCTGGGGAAAGTGATGATTAATTCGAGAGCGGACCGTTCACACATTGTGTCATTATCAGGGCCGTATTTAGGACGTCTACGTACAAACACATGTGCCTCTCATGTTATCATGTACTTCATTACAATAGGTACCTAATACCAAAAAGCTTTTTGGTCATTTTAATGAAGAGTCAGCATCCATTGCAAAGAACAACACGAGGTCTTTGTTGACGTTATAAAATTTTGATCATCGGCCTAAGTACGGACCTTGTGTGCGAATGATGTCCGCTCTCTACTAATAATTAATAAAGAACTAATAAAAATTAGACAAGCAATTACAATTAAATATGGTAATAAAGTGAAATTAATTCTTGAATACTAACCCTGTATAAATGTTCATCGTATGCTTCATTTTTAAGGGCTGCTCTTAGTGTTACGGGTGCTTTGAGAAGAAATATAGGATTCTGTTGTCCCCTTTCTCTATCAAACAAATTAGTGGCATATCTACTAATATTTTCTAACAAGGGCTGTGATATATAGCTGTTTCTCAAATATCGCTACAATACATTATTAATTTTAATTGTGTAGAATCAAAGCCAATAAAGTCAAAAGTTTTTTTTTTTGATACTTATAAAACCATACGCAATAAATAGTGTATTAGACAAGAAGGGAAGAAAGTAGGGTATTCCTTCCCGGGTGCTAATGGTCGCACGAGTTGGTGGCAAAAATTCTTTCCTAATAAGGAATACCTAATACATACAATTTTTTACCCGGTGGGGATTTAACGACCACTCTTTATAACGCCGAAAAATGTTCAGTCCCTTAAGTGTCGTTATATAGAGTTTACACTGTAATTTAATTTTACGTAAAAGATATTTTTTACGTTCAATGTTTAATGTCCGTTACCTTAACCGAGGTAAGTAAGTATATTATTTTTCCACTGAAGTTTTGATTAGTAATAGCAATAATATTCAAAAATGGTTAAATTCAGTTTACCCGAAATTTCATCAGTCCATAGTCGTAATTCTTTAAATTATATAAATAATACTGGATTATAGCTGAAAAATCATTGAGTCTAATGGAGCAAACATTTTTGCTCATAATTTCAGGTTGTATGTAGTTGGTGAAGTTTCAAAATCAATTTACTAATGAATTGAATTTAACTCAACAAATTCAAAATATCTCCTTAGTTCGTATGTTTCTTTTGCTGGTGCATACATACATAAATTAATTTTAACCAATAATATCTGTAGGATCCCTTGTAACAATTGTGGTTCAAAATAAAAAGACCATTGCATATGAGATTAAGAGAACATATGAACGACAAAAACCACAACCTTTTTTAACTAACTAAGAAGTGAGTTATATTTTCTATAACCAATGTGTATGTATTTAAACATCTTTTACATCGTAGCTCTGAGAAAGTGTCGTAACTGAGTACGAAACGTTGGTTTGACGTTTCACATTAATAAAAATCTTTTACCTGTACATGACTTAAATTTTTACAATTAATCAATTATGGTGCAAGAAATGACAACTAACTTTGTCATATTGGGTATTTATTTAAAAAAGTTGGCGTAGTCGCTATTATTTTAGAAAATCTACACGAAACATCTTCGTTATACAATTTATTATTTATTAATTGAAAAACGATGAAATTATCTACATGTGATAAATTTTATCGTAAATTGAATAGCGAGCTGCAGGATAAAATTTCAGGAGATAGGCCCAATCCTTCAAATTTAATGTCAAAATAGTACTCACAGCAATAGCTCTATAGGTATGTGTATGAGGGGTATATGAAAAAAGGCCTTGCACCTAAAAACAATAAGTTTTAAAAATAAAAAGATGGTGCGCAAATAATTTATATGAGCATAATTAACTACTCAATGTGAAATCAAAGCTAAATGGGAGTTAAAAATGATTTATTTTTTANCGTTGCATGATTTCGTTACATAGCAACTCGCATGAAACGAACTTACCCTACCGTGCGTAAAGAAGTTTCACTTCAAAAGCGGCTTATTTTTGTTTATGGAGGAAATATACTATATACCTATATTTGTTGAATAAAACCAACTGTTCTCTTTACATTTTCCAGCAGGACAAGCAATAAGGTATAAAACACATGTTCCAATGTGTACTGAGATGATAAAATAAACAACAACTTTAAACAACTTGCTTAGCAAAACGTTAATATTCAAGTGGTCAAATTTCAACGATATAAAACGATGAAGGGTAATCTGAAAGTTTGGGACAGAAGTATTTTATATTTCTATTTCTATTTTTCATATATATCAATTTTCTCACAATATTTGAACAAAATATTATGCAAAAGCATGGGAACTAAGTTTAGAAATGTTACATGTAATATAAAAGTTAAGATGAAATTGTAAAAGTTAAACGAAGGAGATATAAGAAGGGAGACATGGAGAAAGATAATCTTGGTACAAAAAATAGATGCGATAACGAAGGGGAAGAAGCAGTAAGGTGTTAAAGCAGGAAAAATGGTGTAAAAAAGATTTGCATAGATAATAAGGGGCATTATTTGAGAAAAATTTGACGATAAAGGCGATGTGGAACATTTTCAGGGTGCAGATTTGGACGTAATAGCAAGGTATAGGGTAGGAAAGGAAAATAGAGTTTGTAGGTATTGGATGACAACGAAAGAAAGGAAATGTAGAATATGTGAAGAAGGTGATGGATATGCTGGGGTGATGTAATGAAAGTAAGGATTTGGATGCATGCAAGAAAAGAATAAATTGATGTAGAAGGGGAATCCCATTAAGAAAGATTTTGAAAACTAGAAAGAGATATTGAATATATGAGAATTTATCAGTAAATTAAAGGTAGATGGTAAAAGTTTGACGATTCTGAAAGAGATACTAAAGAAAATAAGTAAGTTCCGCAACGTGAAGATAGCTATGATTTAGTTAAGTATGTGATTAATGATTTAGTTAAGTATGTGATTAAATAACTTTGTTTCAATAAAGCATTATATACGTATGTAAAAAGTTTCTGCAATAGCCTGGAAAACGTCAGGGATTTGTTTTGGGCATTTTTTAAAATTGGTTTTTATATCGGAACTTGATTAAATCGTAATTTAGTAGATATCTAATAAATATTTATACGTATATGAATAAACATCAAATTGATCAGGGAATGTTATGTTTTTAACAAACAAATGTACAACAGTTAGGAAATTAATTCCTGAAAAAGTAGTTAGTGTGTGAACGAGTGGCGCAGGCAACGATCGATACCGTGTCGTCATTGATGCGATAAAGGTAACTGACAACAAGCTCTCCGGAAATAATCGAGAACATTTTATGATCGTATAAATGAGTTTTAGCATTAGACATTAGATAAATTCATAGTGAGATAAATAAGCTATTGTTAAATAAACAACTATACCTTTATGTATATTGCATAATGTATTATTGTGTAAATACATTTACTTACAATTCTAACGATTCTGTTAATTCTGAACCATGTGAAGTAATAGAGTCTATCTGTCGAATAGCACAGTGAAAATATTTCGAAAGGCAATAGAGAAAATAAATCAATGTAGAAACGTGATGGTATCATGTATCTATAAATCAATTAAAAAATATTCAATTGAAAAATCGAAATACATAAACGTTGAGTTCATACTTGCCTCTTTTTAATTAGTTTTCTGTTTTTTATGAGGTGACCTTTTTCATTTCTATAGGCCAATGAGAAGAAAGTGGTAATAATGAGAGCGTAAAGGAGATCTGTGACGTATGTTAATATAAAAATAAAGATTCTGTGATCTTGAAATCCCAAATGGTAAGGGACAATTAAGCAGGAAAGTAATGAAACCAAAACAACAAAACCACTGAAGAATGAAGTAAAGTACCGATGTTCCAACCATCTGGAGCTGCTCAAAAATTCAGTATCACCGATAAAATAAAATAGACAAACGAGAACATTTTTTTAAAAATATAATTTCTTAAATGCACTTATTAGTTTCCTACGATGGTAACTTGAGGAAATTACTCTGCGGTTAAAGAATATTCTTACGTTACTTTATATATCATATGATATTTTTATTATTACAGTAAAAGCTCTTTATTCGCGGGATATACGTTCAATAAATATGCCGTGAACACAGAAGCCGTGGATATGGAATGGTAATTAGTATGGAATCGTAGGGGATACGTTCTAAGGTTCCGAAATAAAACCAATATATCAAAATAAAACCATATTGATAAATTCGCAATTAAAGAGTTTAAAAAATTTAGTGATTTTTTCTTGTTTTGAATTTTCAAATTAGTCCATCCGGTTACATCTTTTATAAAAGCTGCCTCGGCACTACCAACAGTACATAGTCAAAGGACGCCGATACATTCAGAAGTACACGCGCCGTAGAGTAAAAACATGCTTATCGGTTCTAGATATCATGAGTTTAATGTTTGGAACAGAGGTTTCAAATTTTGTAGTAAAATAGATAAAGCTTTTCTCTAAAGCCTGTCGAAGGTCATTTTCATTTTTTTTAATTTCTATTGAAAATACGTGTCCTACAAGAAGCACCAACTTTAAGCACTTGTAAAAGNAGATACGTAACAAAATACAATTAAAATATTGGAGCAGCAAAAAACATCAGACGAAGATAACAGGCTATACGCAATGTATGAATAATAATGTTCGTGTGCAAAATGTGTACTATATTGGTAAATGCATATTATTATAGAATAGTAAAATAATATCTTTTATTTCTCTCCATTTAACGACCACTCTTTATAACGCCGAAAAATGTTCAGTCCCTTAAGTGTCGTTATATAGAGTTTACACTGTAATTTAATTTTACGTAAAAGATATTTTTTACGTTCAATGTTTAATGTCCGTTACCTTAACCGAGGTAAGTAAGTATATTATTTTTCCACTGAAGTTTTGATTAGTAATAGCAATAATATTCAAAAATGGTTAAATTCAGTTTACCCGAAATTTCATCAGTCCGTAGTCGTAATTCTTTAAATTATATAAATAATACTGGATTATAGCTGAAAAATCAGCAACAAACATTCCTAAATGAACCCTTCCAAGAAGCATTAGGGCTATAACAACAATCATATCAAGACTGTTTCTTGCATGAACATCGCCGAATCCTGTACCCGTTATAATGCAAATCATAAAGTAAACGCTACATAAATACGCATAACCAGTGCAAACATGCTTTCCATCTAAAAAAAAATTAAGTTTTGTTAAGTGAAAATAAAAAAAAGTACAACGTGTAATTATACAACACGTTACTGAAGTGAAACTTCTTCAAACACACAATCATACCGGGATAAGGGTTAAGGAATTGGTTCGCATGGGTGCAACGCTGATAGTAAATATACTATAGAATGTCTATATACAACAATCACAGCTTTTTGTAATTAGACAATACAAACCGGCCGGTACCGCCGCAACCGCTATGTCCCTGCATTTTAAATCTGTAATATCTTCGAAAATATTCATTTAAATTACATGCNTTAGCCACAGAATTTTAAAATAACGTAAACGCTGTTCTTATTAAATTAAGATATTTTTGCCGCCAAATGCGGTGCTAAAATCTACGAAAACTTTAAAAATTGGAGGCCCTCATCTAACCGAATTCTCAAAATCATGTGAACAAATAGCAAAACCCTCAAAGGTTTCAAATTAAATTGAGTTTATTGGACTTAAATAGTTTATTATATGAAAATGTGTTAGGTGTTTCCCTATTTCCTATATAACACCATCATGTCGTAGGCTTTAGTATAAATTAGTACCTGCACGCTGTTCGAATTATGGGGGGTTTCTCTTATGCGATGTTCATGTTATCAGATGCGTCTAGATAACTTTTGTAGCAGAAAAAATTTACTGCAGTTAAAATCAACAGCAGTTCTTAATAAGATACCGTTTAGTATAATTAAAAAACTCCCAAATCTAGTGGAAAAATTATTTTAATAATAAAATTAACAATTTCTTGGTCATGTGTGTAAGTGATTCCCACAAATTTAAGTTCAATATTAAATATAGTGACCTTATAATCAGTATTTTATAGAAAGTAGATCCCAAAAGAGCAAAAATGGATTCTTATAATTCTTTAAATCTAACTTTTAAGAAACTCGTCTGTAACAGTGATGCTTATGGATAATTTCTTTCGTAATAAATTAATTTCTGCACTTACAGCATTTTCGGATGTGATGTATTTGCTAATTTTTGATTTTAATAGTGGATAGTTTTCTGCGAGCCGATAGAACTCCGTAGTGTCAATCCACAAAACGTCGGCATCGGTTTTACAAACGGCATATATCGAACTCCGGGAAGTTGGTACATTGTCGATGTTCCCGAAAACACTAGAATAAAACAGAAATCGTGAAGTAGAACGAAACAAATAAAAGAACTTCTTATATATTACATTCATTATATAATCTTCCCCTGAGTGGTATCAACAAAATAATACGCGCTAAATAAGAGGTGAAAATATTTTTTATTTTAAAAAACAACCACCGTTTCGTCTCAGATTAGAGACTTATCAAGGTATTTTTAAAAGTCGGTGATACTTAATGCATTAGCCGTAAATGCACCCCACGAAACATAAATCACAAACACAGTTAAAGATAAAATAATAAATAATTAAAATCATTAAAAACTTGAATAAATAAACCGTAAATAAATAAATTATTTAAAAAACGTTAAAAAGTTAACAGCTAACAGCTCTGCTGTGTAACTGTTAGCGATTAGCGCGCTATAACTTTGATTGCAAAAAGCAAATGATATGAAACCAA